TTCGAGCAATCGACACACAATCCTGGCCCAAACGCATATCACGCGGGGTCGAGAGTGCCACCGGCCTCGCGCAGCTCGACCGTTGTGGATTCTTCGGGAACGAGCGTTCTGTAATTTTCAAGTGAGTAATTCATAAAGTTGTATGCTGTGTGCTTGTAGACGTCGCCGTAGAGACGACCGACGAGCCCGCTTAGTAGATCAGCTGAAAGGGTCTCGCGGACGCCGGACATAACGTCGCGACGCGTAGGACGCTCCATATTTTGTGGCATGGACGCATGGAAGGCGTCAATCCAGGGTTCGGCACGTGCGATGACGTTTGGGTTCCGCTGAGGCGGCGAACGAAGGGGAACATGGGCGATTCGTCGTTCGAAGGGGGGATGGCGGGGGCGGGGAGGAACAGAGGCATCGAGTCGTTGTTGTAACATGAAGACTCGCGGTTTGGAATCTGGGTATTTATAATCGATGTTAGGGGGATCTCGATGTGACAGGTCTTCTGCGTTGGCTGGTTTTGGGTTCATGAACAGCGTGTCCTGCCAGTGCCGTCCTGGTTCCCCCATCTCACTCGTTGCTATGTCTGAGGGACCTAGCCCCCCATCTTGTTCATCTTCAGGTTCAAAGCTTTCCCCAAGCCATCGATCTCGACCACAAGCCCTTGCGATTTGTCTAGTCTCCGCGTCATCCACATCGAAGCAGAACTCAGAACGCCACAAAGAAGCGGCAGATCCGTTGGCGCGGCTGATGTCAGTGCCTAAGCAATCTCTTACATTCTGTGACCACTCATGGACAGCCCTGTCTGGCGCATGGAGTTGGCTCAGGAGCGGACTTGCAGCCCAGATGAGGGCACCGAACCGTCGGAGAGTCCTGGGATCGATGCGCTTCTCTCTCCCGGCACCGACGTGCACATGAAAGCCGCACGATTGATTTACACGACATCGAAAGTTCGTCGTTAGGGTAGAGACTGCAAGGCGGATCAGGTCAAAGCTATTCTCGCGGTCGTACATAGCAGGACTTACAAGCTCGACGCCAACCACTCGATAGCCATCCATGTTCTCAAATTCTTTCAGCGTGCTTTCCCCAATGATATTGAACGAGGTATACTCCGTCTTGTTGCATTCTACCTGTCGTTTCTGTATTGAATCTGGAGGATAAAGACTCGTGTCCCAGAGGCGGCATGGAACGCCAGCTCCGGCCAACGTTTCTCGTAAAAGTTCCTTACAATATGACAGAGGGGTACGTTTGTAAAGAGGGACGTCAGCTCGCATAGAGCCTTGCTTGAGGTCTCTGGGAACTCGCAGAAGGGGAGCAAGTTCGTTGGCGATAGTTTCATCTGGATCCGCCTCACCCTCGTAGGCCCAGGCGAGGAAAAACTCTAGCTCGATGCCAAAAGACACGCGCAATGAAGCTGTTGTCGGATTCTCACTTGCTGGGGCGGGATCGTTGGCTGCTCGCACCGTCGTCGACGAGGAAGGTGAGCGCATAGCGAAGAAGGCAAGCGCGGAAAGAGGAGAGAATAGTTGGTGTATGCCTTTCACGATTTTGAGTTGTTCAATTGCCTTGCCTCCATTGAAGGGGCATGCCGGTATTTATGTTGACCTCTTTTGCCAACACGAAGGCCAAGAAAAATGGACAAGCATCATACTGTGTAACAGCAATAGCACCATGTTGCCGCGCATCGACCTTGTGTCAGGGGCACTCGTGGAAAACATCATCTTTGTTCTTTTGTCGTGGCTTTGAACACGAGTTGCGGCGGCTCGGTCCGTCTATGCCCGCATCATGTCACGGACGCATGAATCAAGTCGAACGGCAGGGCGATTTCCTCATTAATTCAAATCAATTCAATTCAATTCGCAAGGGGGGGACGATTGCTTGCCGGCTCGAAGGACATGCGCCAAAACACCTCCAGATCATGGCAGAAAACCGTCCCGTCCCTTCGCAGCGGGATATCATCTCATACATCACCATCTCAAAGTCGTGTTCATAAGGTGACATTGTCTGTCGCAGAAGGCCGCGGCAGCAACAAGGGGCATAAGTCCGGAATGCTCCAATACAGAGAAGCGAAAGAGCGCATCTATTGCAGGCACGTAGATTTAGACCACGTAAGCCAACGCGGCGACAGCGATGGCAGCGGCACCAAACATGGGCGCAGCCGTAGGAGCGGCGAAGCTGTCACCAGTGGTGGTCGTCTCTGAGGCACCGTCGGCGCTGCCAGCCGTGGTAGCAGCGTCGGTGGCGCCAGAGCTAGTCTCCGAGGCAGCGGTGGTAGAGGGCGAGGCCGATGTGGTAGCGGTCGTCGACGCGCTCTTGCCGGCGTTAGCAAAGGCGTTCTGGAGGACGTCGGCGCCGCAGACAGAGTCACGCTGCTCGAGACAGGTCTTCTGCGCGTTGGCGTTGCCAACGGCGGCAGCGTTGCACTCGGAGAAAACGCGGTTGCAAATGTAGGTGGGCAGACTGTCGCTGTAGTACTGGAGGCCGGGTGCAGTACCGTTGCTGCAAAGGCACTCGTACTGAAGTGTTTGCTGGAATCATATAAGTGGACGCAAGAAATGACAGAGGGTGAGTGGTGGCTTACGTAGTCGCAGTTGTTGGTAGGAGCAGGGTTGCAAAGCTCGTCACAGACGTTGCGCTGGCCACTGCACCAGGAAGCTGACGTTTGTTAGTGGATAACAGGACAAGGATGCGACATGCAGTGAAACATACCACGCTCGTTGTCAGAGATGTTGTTGATGTCGTTGAGGTCAGAGGCGCTGTAGACCTTGCGTTGGGCAGAGACAAGAGTGGCGGCGGCCGAGAGGGCCAGGGCGAAAGTGGTGGCGACGCGCATGTTTACGGGTTTTGAGATGGGAAAGTTGTTGGGACCTGAACTGGGCGAGGTAGACGTTGGAAGTAGTAAGCTGTCTCGAAAGGCTACTGCGATAAGACGGGAATCGTGATGCTGTGCGTATGATGCCGTGTAGAGGTAGACAGAGGTGGATTGTGTTTCTGAGGAGGGCGAGGGAGAGGTGTGAGGCAGAGGGGACGGGGGTCACGATGTTTATGAAGCAGCGG